TTGTATCAACGGTGAAACACATTTTTACAATTTTATCAAAAACGGCTATAACGATTTTGATCAAACTTGGTGTATCATTGTATAATTAAGTGATCTTTATTATCATTTAGGTCTTATCCCAGTTGATGTCACTTAATAAGGAGTAAATGCCCAATGTTCATATGCGTCTTACACTAAAGTACCTTTAATGTGGTTTATTTTAAATAATTAACTATCTCTCATCATTAAGAGTTACGAAAAAATGCTAAATATAACTTTTGAAAGAATTTGATGATTGAATAAAGGAGAAAAAAATAAAAATGCTTATCCAGGTCGAAAATGAATCTCCGGAATTACTAGTCAGAAGGTACACGTATCATTAGAAACCAACGATAAGTGTACAGAAGGTACACTTATCGTTGCTTATCGTTGGAAAGCGCAGAATTTTAGAAAAACAATATCTAATATAGAAAGTTGTAGAAGGTAACGGAGAGTGGCAAAAAAATTATAAATAATAATGTGTGGAAACTAATAATATGTAACGTAAATCACATGTTTTCAAGAAAATTAAATGAAATTTACTAACTAAATGTAAACTTTTAAAATATTTTTAAGTTTTAAATAAGTATTTAAAAGCCACCTAATCAAGTTGAAAAATCTATTTCATTGTACTTGTGTGAAAGAAGAAGTAAAATATAAAATAATTCCATGGATGTATAAAGCATATATTTATGACCTTAAATGTATTTACTGTGGTTTAGTAATTAGAGATCTGATATTATATTTAAATAAATAGGTATCAATTAGCTTCCGTTTATTCCGAAATATTGTCATGTAACTTTTTAGAAAATTAAATTAGTATATAATTTGATGAATCTTCCCTTTGTGAAATTCCAACAGTATCCAGTACTATTTCATTGTAATTATGTGAAAGAAGAAGTGAAAAATTAAAATATTTCATAAATATATTTATAACCTCAATTATATTGACTGTAGTTTAATAACTCTAAATCTGATATTAAATTTAAATATTTAGGTATCTATCGTCCGTTTATTCTCTAAGTAAAGAAACAAAGTTTTTAAAAAACATCGAATGAAGACAATGCCCTTGTTTAAAATATTATTTCATTGTACTTGTGTAAAAGAAGAAGTGTAACATAAAAATATTTCATAGATATGTTTTTAACCTTAAATATATTTTCTGAGATGATATTATATTTAAATAATCAGGTATCTAGTGGTCGTCCAAAAAATCATCAAGTAACCTTTTAGAAAATTAAATTAGTGAATAACGTGATGAATTTTCCCTTCGTGAAATCTCGACATTATCCACTTACAATTAGTGTGACAACTTTTGACTTGACCATGGCAGGCAATCAAAATATCATAATATCATTTTAGTAAACTTTACAATGGAATGTAACAGTTTAATAACTAATAGTCCTACAATCGATAATTATTTATAGATTAAATATTCTGATGTAATTTCAAATCTCTCTAGGCGTATATGAGCTTTTTAGTTGACAGAATGACTAACTCCAATTTCAACATTCTTTATTATTAATTTTAGTGATATTTCTAGTGACAAAATGTATACCTTTATTCACAGTGTTATAAAGGTATAAACTGAAGTTGTGTGGTTTATAAAAGAAGATAGAGAAACTAGATTTTTATTGCCTACCGTCTATATAATAAATAGGCATTTGTAATTGTAATGGTCTTAATGATTTTTTATCTGTTAGCTTTAAGCTTTTGCTCTGTTTAAAATACGCTACAAAAATTTTATAATAGTCCCCAACATTGCCAGAAAATATTTTCTGTTATGCGTATAACAGCAAATAACAGTAAGTTTTGTGTTGCGCACATCAGATTATTTAATTCCCACAAAGCGCAAAATGATAGTAAATATATTTTGAAGCAAAAAAAAAACTATACTTTAGAACAAAGTTGAAGCTATTCTCGGTTCTGGCGTCTCCTGGAATAGAAAAGGGTTCACATAGGGAGATTTTTTTTTTTTTTATCCTCGAACAGAGGGAGAATCTCCAAGTTCTCTTTAAATAAAAATCTACTAATACCAAAACATCGCGAGAGGGAACGAATTACTCTAATGTTTTACACTTACAAAACCGCTTTAGCAAATTAATATTAAAATCGTACAACAGTGTAATGATTTGCTCCTTAAATAGTTTAAAGAATTTTGAATCCAGGAAATGAAATGAATTATATAAACACAATAATCTACCCAAACTAAAAAAATATAATCATTTACTTGTTTAATGCAGAGATTAATTTTATTTTTATTTTTATCTTATAATCCTGCATAAAATATAATATAGTATTTTTATTTTTAAAAATACTGTTAAAATAAAAAATGAGTAATGCAAAAATAACAATTTAATTCATTTATTATTTAGTTGGTTAAATTATGAAGTCCCAACTACGTAACCCTACCAATTTTCGTAATACGTAACGTGGCATAAAAACATTCCTTACTAAACATTAAAAATGAGGGAGGGTACTAACAAATCGTAAAAAATATTTCTATTTTTAAAAACATGATTGTAATAACAATATTTCATATTGATTCAATAGTTGAGTAAGTCGGGCTAAAATGCATTCAGAAATGAACAATAAATTATATAAATCGTTTAACACCAGTTTTTATTTAAACAAGTAATAACCATACAATGAAATGGACATTGCATTTAATTAAACCATAGTATAAATTCCATGGAAAATCTTCGGATTCACGACACGGAATTGACCAATATCTACCCCTTGAGCTTCACGGAAAATTATTCAGAAACTGATGAAGAGATATTATTCAATTATATAAGATATTAAGGAACGATTTTTTTATAAAGCACTTATATAGTCTCAGGATAATAAATTAACCCTAAAACAAATAGTTTAAAAGATTCGAAATAAAAATTTATTATGTAATTCGTGGTACAGATTCTTTTTGTAAATTTATTAATATCCGTTTGAAACTTCGTGAATAGCTTCATATCATAGTAACATACAACTATTTTATTTATTAAAACTCTTGGAATGTGGGCGTTTTCTATCTGGAGATCGGAAAAATTTGCCTATTTGATTGGGTACTAAAAACTAGTAAATACTCATTTGCTTTCCACTTATATCTTAAGATAATTTGATCGGAAAATCAAGAAAAAAGGTGGCCTACAAAAATATTGTGCCGTTTAGTATATATAACCTCGTTATTTTTACAATTTGGGAGTGTAGGTTTTCTAACCGGCTTGTAGGTTTTCTACTAAACGGCTAAACGGTCCAATATTTTCGAAGGTCACATTTTTGCTCGATTTTGTGTTTAAATTACCTAACGATTCAAGTGGAAAGCAAGTGGATATTTACGTGTTTTTGGTAACTAATTAAATAGACAATGTTTGGTGATTTCCAGATTGAAAACTTCCCAAATTTCCGTAAATAAAATAGTTCTAGGTTACGATGAGATGAAGCAAATTACAAGGTTTCAGGCAGATGTTAATAATTTGATAAGAAGGGGTCTATACCACGGCCTAATATATATTAATAATTATAAGTAAAACAGACACTGATAACCATTCATCCTTTGGACTAGACAGTTAGGAACTTTTGTTTTTTAATATATTAAAAGAGCAAAAAAAAAAGTAAATAAATAGAACGATAGGTAGTTTGAAAAATTACTAACACTTAATTTTTAGAATTTTTCAAAGGCTTAATTGATATAATACGATCAGGGGTGTCCAGAAGGGGATTTCATGACGCAAATTGCGTCATTGATTTAGGAGGGGGGCACTTTTTGAATGTGTTTTCAATTTTAGAGAGGGGCACATTTCCACGGGGTTATAAATTTTCAAAATGAAAAGTTTCAAATTAAAAAACGAGTGGAAACATGGAACAGGCCGCAGCATGTGTAAATATATATAATCTACGAATATTCAGATTCTACTTTCATTTCCACGGTTTTTAAGAAAAAGCCTTGGGAGGAATGGGCACCCCTGACTAGGATGATTTCTGTCAGGTAAAACCAAGAACTGATAAGTTCCTAAATCTAAAAACCAACTTACTTCTGGACTAATCAGTAAATTAATATTTTAGGAAGTATGGTAATTTTACCATATGAAAACCGCTACTGTTCTTACAATACAACCCTAATCTGATGGAATGAATGCATATAACTTAACTTTATTGCACTAATATACTATTTTGCATAGGTATCATCAAAACATTGATATTTAAGTAGATCAATGATTATTTTGTGATGCACCATTTTTTTTGTTAAATTGTCTAAGAGCAACCAAACATCTATATAATAACGAAAAACATAATATGAATGCAGTCGAAATTTCCAAAAATAAATGTAATATTTTTCAAAATTTTATCAGGAGATCACTAACCAACATGGCTTTTGAACTTTGTGTGGACTACCAGAAATATGATCCATCTATCTCATGAAATATTTCCATTTATTTGGAAATAAAACGGTTTCTTATTTTTTGGAATAGCAGATATTTGAATAAAAAAAAAAAGACAAATTAAAATTTGAAGAAAACTGTCCATTGGTAGAAATAGATACTACTCCATATTTGTATTTAATTTTTTCATTGTTTTATAAAATAATGTACTTTCATGACAACTTCAGAGATATGATTTAAAGGACCATTGTTAACTTAGATATAAGTAAGTTAGATAAAAGAATGTTGCATATTTGTTTCACGATGGAGCCGATTTTGATTTTTCTTATCAACAAGCAGTTCCTTTTGCTGCTTCATTGTTAATGAACTTTAATTATTGATTATAATTTTATGGATTATTAAAATATATAAATGGACATAAGTATACTATTAATTTGTTTTTTTTATATTATTATTATTATTTTTTTTACAGCAGCCAAAGCATTAGTAATGCCTATGAAAAATAAGGCAGGCATTAATAGTTATAAGGGAACATATGAATACCACAATGAGAACAGCATTCCCACGGCATTACAATGAAACAATACCTTAGGAAAATAATGATAATTATATACTGTTTCTAAAAGAACTGAAGGACATACGAAGATAACTGTAATAAACCAATATATTTTTTAAAGGTATATTTAATTCGATTATTAAAAAGAAATTCTCTGAGCATTGCCAATAATACATTAAAGACTAGACAATAATTAACAATAGCTGTTTATAAAATGTAAATTGAAGCCAATAATCAATAATGAGAAAGAATTAGTCATGCAAGTTCACACAATAATTCATGCATTTTTGGTTCACTACCACAAATATTAGTTAATAGAATAATAAAGTAAAAAGTTAACCTCAGGAGTGAGCAGATCATCATCATGATTCTCATCGATATATCCCCAGTCCGACGGTTCTCCTGTATCTCCCCTGGAAGTCGATGCAACTTCATCATCATTGTTTGTAAGACCCATATAAGCTGTCACATTCTGCCAAAGATTCGCGACCCGATTATATCGACCTAAAGAACTCAGTTCACTCAACACCTGTTGATCATCAACAAGTAGGGATTTCGGATGGACCCTTATGTCTTGCGAAGAATATTCCCAAGCATCTGGACCACCTACACCTATGGCAGGAACTCGAGCTGACCATTCATTTGGCTCAACACGGAGAAGGCTCAACAAAATAGCGATCTGGAGGAGCTCGTCCCTGTATACTTTTTTAAGTGATAACATCATTTTTCTGGTCTTTGTTGTTTAGCAATCAGTCATTCTGAAAAAAATAAAATAAAACAATATAAATGACAATGCTGATCAGTAAAAGATTGCTTTAAGAATAATACATTTAAACACCTGCTTTATTTACAAAAATCAAATGATGTTGGTAAACATCCCCATGTACTGATGAGAAGTTTACAGAATTATGTAAACTAATTGTTAAACATAATATGATCTGGAAATGACCAAGTATTAGCTGTTCACAAGTCCAAAAATGAGAGTGAGCCTGGTGACACGGTGGCACCTCACTATATAGTAGAGGGCCAAACTAAATTTAGCACAGAGTATTCGCACTGAGACCAACAGACTCGTGCCAGTAAAACTCTGAATTAAATGTCCAAATTTTATCAAAAAATAAACCGATATGGCACTTATCCAAAATAAATGAATGATCACATATATTAGTGATTGATAAATTAATACTTATAGATTCAAGGTTTCGGAATTGTTTTGTTTCTATATAAACAAAATTAAAGAAATAAATAACCATACAACTTGATTTTTTTTTCTAAATCAAAATAAAATAAAACAATTGTTTATATTAAGAACTATTAGTAGATGAACAATTAATTGCAGAAATCAGTAGAGTTAAAAACAGCAATTATAAGAGAAAAATCCATCAAGCTTCCATATTCTGTAGATGAATGATATAGCAGATGCACCCATTGATAGTTTTTCTTTGTATTACTAAAGGCCAAAATAGAAAAACAAAGCTAACACCTAAAATGCTCAACAAATAGTTCAATAATTAAATAAGTGACAATTTTTGGTATAGTGTTCTTATAATCATCTAATCAATTTATCAGGGTTAATAAAATGATAAAGAAATCAAAAGTTTTTATAAAGAATAATAACTATTAGCATTGAATTATTTAAAATTAATACCAACTATTAAAATATTTCATATTAGAAAATATCAAACATTGAAACTCGATAAAACATGGAATAAAACATACTAACTGATAACATTGAGATGAATAGTATTCCAAAATAACAAACAATAACTAATTAAATTTGAATTTAGAGACTGATTGTTTGGGTTAGGCTCTAGTTGTTATTAATAATATATATTAATTATTATTACTATCAATAATAAATCAATAAACAAATAGGGACAATTCAAATTCAAAAACGATTATAACCTTAAAGAAACCTCTCTCTTTTTGGTACTTATGATTCCTAATTACTTTTTAGAAAATTATTGAGACTGAAAAACGAAACAACTAGAACTAAATTAAAATGGCTAGAATACAAAAATAAAAAAATACTTTACCTATGATAAAAACGAATCAAACTGTTAAAAGCACCCAAAGGCAAGAACACAACACTTGACAGTCAATAAGTTTTTATGATTAGTAGTGGTTGTAAATAAACAGTATCATCACAGTTCAACACTAAATTCACAACAAAAAGTTTGTTAAAAACAGTCGTCAAAAACAACCGGTGATAAACGATGTAAACCGAAAACACCGGTTTAGAGAGAACAAAATCCCATTTTGGGGCAAAAAAAAGTCGGCATCAACACATTCTTCTAATTCTGAACATCACTGATGTACTTAATACAAAACGAATCACTCGGGAGAAATAATAATAGAGATCTGAACACAATACGCAACAATGACTCAGCACAAGACGTTTCCCTGCCTACGGTCGGGCTGACACAGAGCGGTTTGAGTGAGCTATCGCGATGCATGCTGGGAGCAAGTGACGTAATCAAAGTTGCCGCCGTCCTCACTTCATCTTTCACAATGTCCCCTATAAAGGTACAAAGTTCTCTGAAAGAGTAATTTCCCAACAAAATTTATTTGATATAGCAAAAATATATTTCAGCAAGCAATCACAATCCACCAGGGAGGAATTCAAAACATGCAAAAACGATCCCGTTCAACAAGCACCTCAGCAAGTCCCTTCCAATTTCCGCTACTTACCTTATTCAAACAACAATGGCATAATTTCATTCCGATGATTTTTGGCATTATATTTTAGATTTTTTAAGTAGAATAAACCTACAGTCGAAATTTAAATCGAAACGATGGTTTAATTCTTTAATTAGAACTACAGCTTAATTGATTCAAATTTGTTACGGAAGTTGATATCATCGGATATGGACCTAATGCCGCATACAATAGAAGATAGGTGATACTGGAGACTGTTTATGAAGTGGGGATGTTTTCGATAAAGAAGTGGGGATAATGCTGGTGCCCTTGAAAAAAATATGTTTTCTTTACGATGCTATGCAAATTATTTATTTTAAATTTTAATATACTTATCAAGTACCCCTGACCTCTGTGCTTACATATAAAAATAAATAGAATAAGTTATGGACAATTAAAATTTTAAAATTATTTTTAGAACTTTTTGAGTTCTAATGTAATTATTTGTTGAGTTTTGATTTATTTTTAAAACGCACTTTATTAATTTAAATAACAATGAATATTCAAACAGTTATACATGGATTATGTTTTTACATAAAAACGTTATTCTTCTTGAAAGGACAAATCTCGAACAAGGACAAAACCTCAGTATTAAGGCTTTTTTACCAATGGAATATGTCAGAAACCGTTTTATTATTAAAGGTGATCGATTATGAAAAAAAAATCATAAAGATTGGACAAAAAAAATTCATCAAATTTATCCTTCCCTTTCTCTGCCCCAACCCATCATGCTTCGGTTTCAGGAGTGATAAAGTAAGATTAGGAAAATTCTTCAATCAGAAATTTTATAGATATAGTAAATTGTACTTGAAACATTTGGGCCGATTTATTTCTGAGAAACCAAAAAAAAAAAAATGTATATTTATCACAAATTTAAGATAGTGGTGTTCCATCATTTTTATATTTGTATATCATTGTGTTTATTGTCAATTAAGTATATATATAATTGATTTATTTTCGGGAGAATCTGATATTATATTTATATTTAGCTCATCAATTATTAAACTAATCATTAGAAACAATAAACACAATGATATACATATATGTTCATCTACGCTTTATGCTTAGGCTCGTCAATAAATTGTTGTTTTTTGGTTAAAGTGAATTAATAAGATTAATAAAATATATCCACAAAGTGAAAATTATACTGAAAATATAAAAATTTTTGTCTGAATAAAATCCTTTAGTAAGGAGGATCCGGGGACGGACCCACTATTCTTAGTTTATCAAATTAAACATCATCATTGAGCAGTCAAAATTCAAATAATTAAATTAAATATTTATAAGATTATTTTTAAAAAATCTAGGAAAACAATGTTCACGTTATATATCAGCGGTTAAATCGACCACAATGTGCCCCAAATTTAAAAATATTCTAATTTCAAGATTTTTAAAAAATTCATAAAATAATTGAAGTATAAAAACAAATTTTAAATTTATATCAATGAATGCGTTAGCAACGAAGGTGTCCAATCAACTATGATTGGATAAGTGAAAGTTCTAGTAGGAATTTGATAAGACTGATATGGGGTCATTTAAGTACTAACCAGCCCTATACCTGAAAATTTAAACAAATTTGGATTTACCGTAGCACATATTATGCCTTTAGGGATGCCTTTATAAATTTTAGGGACGGGGTGGCCGAGCGAGCTTAGTAATGACAGAGATTTTAACTCTGGCATTAATCCCGAACCAGGGGGAGGGCGAGGGTTAATGGCAGGTTATACTTGGTAGGTTATACAGCGGCTAAAATCCTGTATAACCTAAAAGGTGAGGAAGGGGAGGAGGAAGAAAAAAATGTACTGTGACCGTTCATTGAATTTTACTACATGCAGAAAGAACGGAACCAAATTTGTTCCGTGATTTCTTAAACGTGAAAGGCGGAGTGGAACATTAAGACTCTGTCATGAAAAATATTTTACTTCCTGGAGAAATACACTACTTTTGTTAGCGATAAAACATGCATTAACTACAGAGTAAAAGTTTAACAGTGCAGTAACCGTATATACCTCTTCCTTTCTTGAGATAAGAAAATGGAATCACTCAAGATAACAATGTATAGCTTACTCTTCCAGGAATGTAGACAACAAAATAGAAACACGTTTGTTTATGAAACCAAAGAAATGCGTATGTTTAAAGTGAAACAAAATGTCATAATTCTTTCATTTTACGTCCAAAACGACAACTCCAAAACAGAAATATCGAGCACAGGAGCATGAAGTTGCTGTTGCGTCCTATCGAATATATTTTTAACATTTTTTTTTATAAATAAAAAGTGTGTTTATGTATTTATATTTATGTATAATAATACATCACAGGTCAAGAAATAAATGCTTCTCAATACTTGTAGTAATTTTTGCTAAAAATACGTTGTTTTTTGAGGTAACAGGATTAAAATCACAAATATTTTTTACACAACTTGATGTGAATCTTAACTTTTCATGAATTAATATCAACTTCTTGATATTCGTTGCTTGATATGGACCTAAAGATAAAACCCTAATCAGGTTTTTCTAAAAGTGGAGTATCTATAGTAGTTGGAGAATGATAAAAATAATTGCAAATAATTTATGATAGTAGAGGGTACACATAAAAAAAGACTGTTTCATCAAATTCAATATTGCAAAGTACTGTAAATATTTTAATAATATTTAATTCTAATCAATACTTAATTATCCCTTTAGAGCATTCTCTAAGCTTGTTTAATCCCATATGAAATCTAAAAAAAAAACCTCAGTTTAGTTATTTGTTTCAAAGAAGAAACATGACAGTGTTCTAAGAAATTCTCGTAATTTAAGGCATTACTGGAAAAAAAAAAATCACAGCCGCTGAAATTGTGAAATTTTTAAACATGAAGGGGAAGGTGTCCTTGACCAGTGCACTGCGCGTCGTTGGTTTAAAAAATTTAGCAGTGGAGATACGACGTTGGAAAGGAAGAAGGGCTCCGGGTGACCACTAATGGATATTGATGAGGTTCTGCAGGAAGCTGTAGAGTCAAATCCGTCCACAAGTACTTGGGAACTTCCCAAGGAGTGTGGTGTGTCGAAAGATACTGTTAGTCACCATCTATTCTCCATGGTGTAAGTGGAAAAGAGATGTGGACTGGTACCTCACGAACTTACTCCGTACCTAAGAAGTTAGAAATTTGTGAAAATTTATTGAAAAAACCTTGTGGTATAAGATCTTACCGGGAGATTATCACCTGTGATGGAAAGTGGGTTTACTGGTGAAATCTGAATACCCATGAGCAATGGCTAGATCGCGGTCAAACTGCTTTTCCGGCTGCTGCAAGGGGGCAATTTGAAAAAATTGCTTGGCGTTTCTGGAATTTTGAAGATGTAATTCATCATAAATTTGTTCCTGATGGATGCTCTATAAATTCTGAACTCTACTGCAAACAACTGGAAAGGTTGTACGCGAAGTTGTCAGAGCGTTATCCTGCTTTGATCAACCAGAAACGAATTTTATTCCAACAAGATAATCCTCGTCCTCACACTTCCGTCGAACCAAAGAAAAAATTAAAAACTTCATGGATTCGAATCCCTGCATCATTCACACATATAGTCCAGACCTCGCGCCATCGGATTACTACTTATTTAGATCCATGTCCCATTTTCTTCTAGAAAAAAAATTTGTTAATTTTGCAAAAGTTGTAACTGCAGTCCAAGAGTTTTGAGAGTCATCCCAAAGAATGGTATCAGCGTGGGATCGAGCAATGGGCTAGCAGATGGCTAATGACGGTAGACAACAATGGATTATTCTTTGAGTATTAATTGTATTTTATATCAAATATTTGGTAGAAAACGTACATTTTTTATACACTCTATTATTTAAAAAGTCCTCTTTGAATCTATATTCCATAACTTTGAGCTAATAAAATTTGTTTCTTCGTCACTAAATTATTTAATGAACAACTGGGCATAGTATCCTTTATCTCCGGGGTACAGAAATGGTTTTAATAAAGATAAATCCTACTATAATTTTATATGAATTTTGTCTGGAGCAATTGTTAATTACATAAATTAAATTATATTTTTTTGTAGTTATAGCTTCCTATTACACAAAACATTGGTGTGAATGTGTTCATAGCTCATTATAATTACTGTTCACGTGATAGATTATTATATATCTAAAAAAAACAACATCTAAACGTGAATTTCATACTTCTCTGAGGACAGTCGGCGTATTGTTAATATGAACTTTTTATATCTCTTTTGATCTACTATCATGTTTTTAAATATTTCCCTCTACTTATAAAACACCTAGCATATAAATATTATTTATTGCCATTTTAATATTATGAGTGAGCCATACATGGTTAGTTTACCAATAAGTAGAATTTTTAACATTTGGCTAAATGGGAATTATAATGTCATACAAAAGAGACCTCCAAAGATACATATTGCTTATAACAATAAACTAGTTTAAAGTTAGTAAAGTAGATTAATAATAACACTATAATAATTTTTTTTTTTTTTTTTTTTACTGATGATATTTACAACTGTATTACAAGTAAAAATACGTTCAGTAAATGTGAACAAAGGAATAAAATAGCATGAAATCACATGTTGAGAAACTACCCATTGGTGGCACTCTAAAAATGTATTTACAAAAGGAGATCTCGAGGCCATCTTCTTTTCAGACGCCTCTGAGGGTTGTCAGGGATTGTAGAGGAAGCAAGGTTAGAAACGAGAGGGTTTGGATGGTTCTGAAGTTTGTTATGGAAGGATAGGTATCTGGATTGGGCCAGCTCAGAAACATAAGGAACATTAAGGTCGTTATGGATGATTTTGTTTGTGACAAAGTAAGGAGCAGTGAGGATTTTACGAAGGATTTTGGATTGTAAGGATTGAATACGAGAGGAATTCGATGGCTTAGTGGAGCCCTATAGCTCAACTCCGTAAGTCCAAATAGGTCTTATAGTAGTCATGTATATGAGTCTTTTGTAATTGACTGGGAGGTTAGAGCGTTTGTTTGTCTAGTAGTCGGAAACGTCGAGCTGTTTCTTGTCGTTTCAGTCTGGTATGAGGATTCCAAGTTAGACGTTTGTCTAAGTGGAGTCCAAGGTATCGAATTTGTTCAACAGGGATAAGTGGGGTATTATTAAAGGATACTGTAGGACAAGAGGACATAGGTTTACGACGAAGGGTAAAGGTGATCTGCTGGGATTTATTGGAATTCTAATAATTAAATCCTAAAAATAAGTAAAAGATAAAATAAAATAAATAATAAATTTAAAAAAATAATTCACACCAAAATGTCTTGCATAAGTATGGGTTTTAGTTTTAGTCCACGGGAAGATAGATATCGAAGTCTCGAAAACTATTGCACTTAACTGGTGGTAACAGGGAATGAATTTTGGTAAAGCTATTATCAATCGAAAATAGAATAAATTATGGTTTGTCCTATTTTCTGTGATTGTTTTTGTCATCGACATGGAATCTCCGCATAATAATCCTTAACGTTACACAGTATGATCACATATTATAATCACTTCGTTATTGATCCTTAAATGCTCCAAATTCGTCTTAGAACTTAAAACGTATGAACTTAAGTAAAATATAAGCAAAGAGGAATGATGGTTGAAACATTTGGGGCTGCTGTAATTGTTTGCAACATTTCATACGAGTTAAATGATTACTCAAGAGATCCCAGATGATTGCATAACAAGGACGAAAAACTAAGTAATCAAATCCACGCGAACACGGGCAAGAGCAAGGTCGTTTGGGATACGTCCAAACATTAAATGAAAAATATCCTTTAATTCCCGTTCATCTTAAGCCACGTCATGTTTTTGGCTATCCAAATGAATAAATGTTCATGGTATCAATGCTTCCATTTTCAAATTATTGTATTTTAGTATTCAAAATAGGTAATGTTTTAACGTTTTTTTTAAATCATTGGATATATTAGTATATGTCCACTGATTAAAAAAAAATATATTTAAATAATATTTAATTAAAATATTATCACGTTTAAAAAGAAAAGGTTATTTCTTTTCACTAATTAAACTTAAAAGTGAAATGTTAGAGAAACAAAGCAGACAATTTATGCGGTTAAAAATAATTAATAATGAGTTACAAGTTTAACAAAAATGTGTTTGCATGTAATCCAGATCAATGTTTTTAAATTGTTATTAATAAAGTTATCACAACTGATCATTATGATCAGAAAGTGAATTTAAATAATTCAAATTCAAATTTTCATTTATTAATAGAGACTTAAAGCCGCGGTACAGGCCCCTTTTTAAGAAATTATTAACATCTTCCTAAAACTTTGTGATCGGCTTGAGCTTGCCGTAACCTAAAACTTTTTTAATCTACTAAATTCTTAGAAATGGGGCGTTTTTTCATCATATTAATTAGTATAATGAGGTAATAATAACTTATGAATACCCATATGCTCTCCACTTGAATCGTAATTTAATTTAATCTCCAAATCGAAAAAAAATATGGTTTACAAGAATATTGGGCCGTTTCGTCTATTTAACCTCGTAATTTGGTATATTGAGTGTGGAGGTCACGTCGAACGGCTCAACATTTTTGTACACCACCTTTTTTTCTCGAATTTGTGATCAAATTACCTTACGATTCAAGAGGAAAGCATATAGATGTTCATGAGTTTTTAGTACCTCATTTAAAGTTCGATCTCCAGATTGAAAACGTCCCATTTCCAAGGATTTACGTAAATAAAGAAGTTGTAGGTTACGATGAAGCCATTCACGAAGTCTTAGACGGATGTTACTAATTTGATAAAAAGGGCTCTGTACAGCGGATTATCAATTTATAATATAACCGAATTCAAATTTTCTTCTATAAAGTATATACAAGTTAGACATATGAAGTTATACTTTGGATATAATATGAATAAAATAACTCATAGCAACTAAATCCGTTTAACGATTATTTCAAATATTCAATTATTCATTGCAAAATGTTTCTCAATTGATGTTAAGGCCTTCGAATTCGGACGCAGTAATTGTTTCTAATTATGTTTCTGGGAAGTAGTATCGTAGATTTTATACAGTAGTTTCACTCAGAACTCTGCATCAGATCGATAACGGAAACGGCATGAGGGTGGTTGAGAATCAAACAGAATAGACTGAACTATATAGTGTTATGCGGGTGGTATACAGAGCTGTATGCGCTGTCCCTTTCGTGTGTGATCTCCTTGCCTGAGGGAACACAAATGCAGTGCCGACCTTAGACATTCTGCGCCTCCTCCCCTCCCCCCGTGCATTGACGTCATCTCTCTCCCATTAAAAAAAATTAATTTATTTCTTAAGCAGTTTCATATTATATAATATTAGAATTATATTTGTTTCTCTAATACAGTTGCTCTATTTGTAGGCTAAAATTATTTACTTTAATACGTTTAGTAACTTTTTTTTTATTTCACCGTCACCGAGGATCGGCCGGCGCCCCCTCAACGCGCGCCCATTCAGGATGGAGCCTTAGGGCAATTGCCCCGGTTGCCCTACCCTAAGGCATGCACTGAACAAAAGCATAGTCTAAAAGCGAGAGCACTTCAGAATAGTGGCAAAGGTATGAATCTAAATTTGTAAAAATTGCATCATTTGAAGATGATTTGTTTCAAGAAAACATAAAACATCAGTCCCAGATATAAAAAAACGTCTGCCGAAGTTCAGAAGGAGTGTTTATTCAGAAAGACAAAATTTAGAATCCACTTTTCATCATCATGCAGTCTACTTCTGTAAATATCATGTAAACCACACAATACCTATGAAGAAAATTATCATAAATAATTTTGTAGTTCATTTTATCAGCTTCCATTTCAGCCTTGATAAAATTCTTCATGGTTATTGGTTCTAAAAAAAGAGACCTTAAAAACCAAAACATATTTTTAAAACCACGATAAATCACCATTTAGAATAAGCTACAGGAAGGAATAGAGGTTTCAATCATATTTCAATGGTAATATGGAAGAAAAATAAATGAGAATAGCTACATCCAACTAAAAAGTTTTTAAACCTCCTACAAAAACCGTTATGTTACAAAATTATTATCCAGGAAAATTAATCAATGCATTCCATATTTTAAAAATAAATTTCCTTTGGAAATTAAGAAAACGCTTAGTTTGATAAATGCCTTGGAATTTCACATAAACAGTCTTTGTATTTTTTTATTAATAAAGACGCACATTTTCAAAAACAAACTGAATTTTTAAACCTCACCGAACCACTCATTTGTAACATGTAAAAGTCTACAGAGCTCTTTATAATTTT